AACTGTTCTTTCCTAGGAAGGAGGGAAGAAATGCAGGGCGTCTTGCGCTGCCGCCGCAAGAACGCTCAGAACGCTGGTGGACGCTGTCGCAAACTATGAACCCTCATGGGCGGACAACGTTTGCAGCAGCGGCGGCACGTAAGCCAAGTCCCCTTTCCAACCGAACAGTATAACGACCCTCCGGGAAGAGTGCCGCCTATCACGCGAGAAATTGCAAGCGCTGTTCCCCTCAACAGGGGCCTCTTCTACCATATTCTTTTGCTTTTTTTCTATCAAAGCCTCTATCCGCATTACTTGTATGTGGGGTACTTTGTAAAAGTGGACGGGTGAAACAGTCGACGTGACAGGCTAGATAGGAGAGCTGTCGCAGTACTGTTGAGTCCTCCCCATAGAGCAAGCCCTTTTTCCCTTGAGAACAAACCCCGCGATTGTATGTTGTGAATGGTTGCGTTCAATAACAAAACAGTCGCACAATGACTCTCCAAGAAGAAAAAGCAGAGAAACCATGGAGAACGCCCTGAGTAAGGACCTGGCGGCTTCTCTGTTAGTTGTATGCCAGCAGAGCGATATCCTGGCGCCCCTGGCTTACTGATCGTTTCGTCCATCATTCCATGCCAATACCATCTAACAAGAAGAAAAAAAAATTCGGTGCACAAACTGTACTCGTAACAGAAGTGTATTGCAATTTCGGTTTGCAGCACAACTGTAGAGACTGCAATACTGCCACTGACGAGCACAGCATCTTCATTACTTACTGTGAAGCCACGAAGTCGAATAGTCTCGGAAAATGAGGACCAAACTACTTATACAAGGAAGGATACCTGCGAATTGCGAGCGCGGGGACGTATTGAAGGGACTGTGCATTGCAGATCGCCGTATTGCACGACATTCCAGCTGGAGCCATGTCACTCATTCGATGCCTGGAAGTTTCTTTCTTCGGTCCCGTGGAAATCATTATACCCTGCCTACACGAGTGTCTACAGAACTTTAGGGAACAACGCTCCAGCTTTAAGTTGATGATCAAAACATTGCATCGGCCGGGAATTGAACCGGGGCAGCCCGTGTGGTGGAGAGACTCGGTGGTCGACAACCTTTATTCTCTACTCACCACCTATCCTTCCAACAGAGCAAAAAGCGCTCTGGTGCAATTCCAGAGCGCTTAAATACGCCAAAACATTACAGCAATGAAATCTTCCATTTAATCAGCCAAGAATGCATAAACATTGCATAGGAAGTCGCGATTGATCGCGACAGGCGCACTGTTGTTGCTTAGTGGAGCGATGGGGTAAATCCAAATTAGGTACCTACTTTTGCTGGGATACCCTCGTGCTGAGCAGTTCTGCTTTCCTTTATTTTTTTCGTTAGGATACCGTCGAAAGCATTCTAAGGTCAATCGCAGCGTAAGATGCATTCAGTTCAAAAATGATGTTACTGCATCGGCGCAATAGTTTCATGTCCATAAGAACCTTTCTGAGGCGGAGGTGGTGTAGTGACAAGTGGCGCGCTTACCACTCGCGCGGCGCCGGGTTCGAATCCCGGGTCGACTCCCGCCCAGGCCAACCAAGCCTTCTACCCTCCGGGGACGGTGAATTGGTACCAGATTCGTCTGGGAGGATAAAACACTGACTTGTACATCGGCTGGCCACCGCAAGTCATTGTATAGGCCACATCGCATTCAATAAGCCACTACGATTCTGAATGGAAGTAGAATGCGTGCCGCATCCCACAAAGGGATTGATCAACGGCGAAGACTTTATCCTTTTTTATCCTTTTAAGAACCTATCTTGCACAAGACGCTTAGGAAAGATATTTTCTGTCATGAGTTTCGTTTACACACCGTGTTTTTTCACTGTTGTATGGCACTCAGCACGAGTTCACGCTGAAAAACGATTCATGAGCTAGAAGTTGCAGGAGGTCGCTTTGCTGGCGTGGAACGAACGTCCATTGGGCTCGTACGGCATGTAT